AACAGATTTGTCTACTGATATTCATTTTCTTTTAAATTAATAATACTTAAAAAATTACTTTTTACTCCATTTTAATCCATCTTTTTCTCACACGTAATAATGACGTACGTAATGGTGTATGCATCTTATTGATCTGTAATAGTACAGAAATCTCTTTTTCCTCATTCACTATGAGATTTCATGTTTCATGTTAAATGATTTTGAAATTTCATGTTAAATGATCAATTAGCAAACAATAATATTGCAGCTGTTATTTGCTTAAAAAATTTGTTAACAAATTATTAAAATGCATTAGTCAGTTATTTCTCTGAACAAAATTATCTGCGATGAAATTTTATTCTAATTATGTTGAATGAAATAATAAGTTTAATGACCAATTTAGTTGTAAAAATATTCAAAATTTTCAATCTTATAATTAAATTTTTTGATTTTCAAAAGTTCAAATATTAGAAATAAAAGCAATTTTAGTAATACATTTTTTTTTATAATAACAAGATAGCTATAGTGACTATGATTATAACAGCCATACAACAACTATAACGACAACTGCAAGTGTTACAAAAAAGAAAAAAAAGAAACACCTTTATTTTACATTTTTTTTTGCGTATTCATTAGTTTGCAATAACTTTGCTGTAAAATGTTTACAAGTATTCAAATTAAAAAGTATCAGAAAATTAAAAACATTAATCTTTACTGTGAAATTTTAACGAACAGAAAAAAAAAAAATGAAAAACGATTAAATCTTACAGCTCGAAACAGTTTACTGTTTACACTGCCATTTGATGAATTTGCAATATTGCAAATTCATCAAATACCGATGAAAATAGTTTTGCGGAGCAAAAATCACGCATTAACTGTAAGCAGGTAATGGAAGCAAAAATTATACTTCCATTAACAATACATTTAACATTTTTTACAACAAATTTTGCAAAAATAGCAATGTAAATTATATTTTTTTTCGCTATGACCATGGTAATTTGTGAGTGAGAAATTTGATGATGATCAGTTATTACTGTATTCAATTATTTTCAGCTTATTTTTCATCGTTATTATTTTTTTTTATTTTTGAGAGGCTATCATTATTTTTCTTTTTTTCACTAAAATCACGGTAGCTTATGAGTAAGAAACTTGATCGAGATGAATTATTATTATTATTATTATTATATTGAATTATTTCCAGTTAATTATTCAATTTTTCTTTTCAAAAATGTAGTTCATGTTTCATCAAGGGATATCAACAACATCTATCTGTATGCACAAAAAAAAATCAATTTGATCAATTGAAAATTTCTGATACATAATTTTAAATGACTCATTACAATAAAGGAACAAGTGGGAACAATGAAACAAGAAATGGGAGAAATTAGAATAAAACAGATACAAAACACTTGAAAGCTTTATAATTCTTTAACATAGTTGCCTGGAAAGAGACCCGTTCGATTCTGCATTCTTCCTTGCCACCAACCAGAAGCATCTAAAAATACATCACAATAATTAGGCATCTGAATGCAAATAATTGTAATGG